CAAGAGAGCCTTGTCTTTACCAAAAAAAAAAAAAAAAAAAAAAAGAACAAGTCACTTAACACCTGTTTAAATTGCAGATAGTTCACAAAAAACCGAAGATACTATAATAACTAAGTATTCAATCTGTATTTCATATAACTTACTTGGCTTTTTCCTCAGTGCTAAAAAAGAAACACAAGTCAATGACCATTTTATTATGTTCTGGTAACATAATATAGGAAGAAAATATGAGTCAGGCTTTCCTAAGAAAAAGTATAACTATCATTCCACATTTCAGGCCAGTTGTATTTTTATAAACCAAGTGATAAGTAAATTAGTATAAAAAATATACAAACAGCATTGTGAACAGAGAACAGGCACACACACACACACACAATAGGGCTATATGTACAAAGCTGCCAACTTTACTTGCGCAATTATCAATTATTAATATTTGTTTCTGAGAATTTTATAGAAAAATAAATCTATATTATTATCATAAAAATTATGGTTATCTGGGTGTGAAAGGAGCCCAGACAATACTCCTTTATGACATGTTCTTCAAGAGACAGATGCTATTGAGCTGAAGGATATATAGGTAGGTGACGGCCTGCATGAAATGGTCCTTTACATCTCAGTCACTTAATGAGCAGATTTGCAGAAATATTCTGGGATAAATAAAGCAGTAATATTAAACTTTGTTCTTTTTCAATACACATGCCAAAGTTTGGAGGTAAATTCTAATTTGAGGAAAAAGAACAAAAATATAGATTTAACTTGATTTGAAAATTAAAGCATGCAAAACAAAAACACTCAAACAGGATGGTTTATATATCTAGACTTTGGGTGCTTTTCTCAGCTGAAAGGGACATCTGGGCAACTGGATCAAGTGGGACTCTTTTGCCTACCCAGGTGGTGACAAGGTAAATAGTATTCATCACTCTCTGTCCACGTCACAGACTTTAACGAGATCAGGCCATGGCGGCGACACAGAATGCCCTGATGATAGAAGATGACTTAGGAAAGGAGGATGTCTGTGATGGAAACCACTAATTGCCTGCTCTAAAGTGTCTTCTTGCTGATTTTTCGCTGGGCATATGGCTGCTTGAGATAAATTTACTTCTCCCAGACTCTCTTGCAGGTAGGTAACGCAACGTGACTACGTTTGACCCATGAGATGAAAGGAGAAGTACTACTGTGTGTCAACTTGTAGGAAGCAGCTGTAAAACAAAGCAAACACATTGTCTGTCGTTTTCTTTGTTCCTTTTTGCATCCTACCATGGGGAACATGGATGTGAGGGCCGCCACTCTCGCAGCTGCCTGGGACCATGGTGAGCCCATCTAGAAATGATGCAGTGGTGGGCTGTAAGAGCTCGACTGATGACAGCTCTGTGGTAACACACATGAGCTTTGAGTGGCCCACGTATAGAACTATCTTGTGGCAGAAATATTTACCTTGTTTAAGCCACTGCTACTGTACAAGAATTTCTTCCAGAGGTAGCCAGCGCTAATTCTAACTGATAAAAGGGTTCTGGCAACCTAGTTACCAGTAGCCAAGGAGCACAGGCTAG